TATGTTCCTACATACTGTAGGACCATGGTGAATGAACGTAACCTTCCTCGAACACAGGAGCCTCCAAAGTTTCCAAACAAAGCGCCAGTTTACTATCCTTCAGACTTTTAAGGGGCCAGACTGTGGCCTGTGTAAGTAGAAAATGCCCTGGGAGCAAACCATGCCCCATCACTGGTTTCTGTGGGAAGAATAGTACCCCCATTAGTGGGAGGAATAGTGCCTCATCGTTGGTGTCCGTGGGAGGAATAGTGCCCCATCGTTGGTGTCCGTGGGAGGAATAGTGCCCCATCGTTGGTGTCCGTGGGAGGAATAGTGCCCCATCGTTGGTGTCCGTGGGAGGAATAGTGCCCCATCGTTGGTGTCCGTGGGAGGAATAGTGCCCCATCGTTGGTGTCCGTGGGAGGAATAGTGCCCCATCGTTGGTGTCCGTGGGAGGAATAGTGCCCCATCGTTGGTGTCCGTGGGAGGAATAGTGCCCCATCGTTGGTGTCCGTGGGAGGAATAGTGCCCCATCGTTGGTGTCCGTGGGAGGAATAGTGCCCCATCGTTGGTGTCCGTGGGAGGAATAGTGCCCCATCGTTGGTGTCCGTGGGAGGAATAGTGCCCCATCGTTGGTGTCCGTGGGAGGAATAGTGCCCCATCGTTGGTGTCCGTGGGAGGAATAGTGCCCCATCGTTGGTGTCCGTGGGAGGAATAGTGCCCCATCGTTGGTGTCCGTGGGAGGAAATAGTGCCCCATCGTTGGTGTCCGTGGGAGGAATAGTGCCCCATCGTTGGTGTCCGTGGGAGGAATAGTGCCCCATCGTTGGTGTCCGTGTGGGAGGAATAGTGCCCCATCGTTGGTGTCCGTGGGGAGGAATAGTGTCCCATCGTTGGTGTCCGGGAGGAATAGGAATAGTGCCCCATCGTTGGTGTCCGTGGGAGGTAGTGCCCCATCGTTGGTGTCCGTGGGAGGAATAGTGCCCCATCGTTGGTGTCCGTGGGAGGAATAGTGCCCCATCGTTGGTGTCCGTGGGGAGGAATAGTGCCCCATCGTTGGTGTCCGTGGGAGGAAATAGTGCCCCATCGTTGGTGTCCGTGGGAGGAATAGTGCCCCAGGAATAGTGCCCCCATCGTTGGTGTCCGTGGGAGGAATAGTGCCCCATAGTTGGTGTCCCAGGAATAGTGCCCCATCGTTGGGGGAATAGTGCCCCATCGTTGGTGTCCGTGGGAGGAATAGTGCCCCATCGTTGGTGTCCGTGGGAGAATAGTGCCCCATCGTTGGTGTCCGTGCCCCATCGTTGGTGTCCGTGGGAGGAATAGTGCCCCATCGTTGGTGTCCGTGGGAGGTATAGTGCCCCATCGTTGGTGTCCGTGGGAGGTATAGTGCCCCATCTTTGGTGTCCGTGGGAGGTATAGTGCCCCATCTTTGGTGTCGTGGGAGGTATAGTGCCCCATCTTTGGTGTCGTGGGGAGGTATAGTGCCCCATCTTTGGTGTCGGTGGGAGGTATAGTGCCCATCTTTGGTGTCGGTGGGAGGTATATAGTGCCCCATCTTTGGTGTCGGTGGGAGGTATAGTGCCCCATCTTTGGTGTCGGTGGGAGGTATAGTGCCCCATCTTTGGTGTCGGTGGGAGGTATAGTGCCCCATCTTTGGTGTCGGTGGGAGGTATAGTGCCCCATCTTTGGTGTCCGTGTGGGAGGTATAGTGCCCCATCTTTGGTGTCGGTGGGAGGTATATAGTGCCCCATCTTTGGTGTCGGTGGGATCTTTGTGTCGGTGGGAGGTATAGTGCCCCATCTTGGTGTCGGTGGGAGGTATAGTGCCCCATCTTTGGTGTCGGTGGGAGGTATAGTGCCCCATCTTTGGTGTCGGTGGGAGGTATAGTGCCCCATCTTTGGTGTCGGTGGGAGGTATTTGTGCCCCATCTTTGGTGTCGGTGGGAGGTATTTGTGCCCCATCTTTGGTGTCGGTGGGAGGTATTTGTGCCCCATCTTTGGTGTCGGTGGGAGGTATTTGTGCCCCATCTTTGGTGTCGGTGGGAGGTATTTGTGCCCCATCTTTGGTGTCGGTGGGAGGAATTTGTGCCCCAGCATTGGTGTCGGTGGGAGGAATTTGTGCCCCAGCATTGGTGTCGGTGGGGAGGAATTTGTGCCCCAGCATTGGTGTCGGTGGGAGGAATTTGTGCCCCAGCATTGGTGTCGGTGGGAGGAATTTGTGCCCCAGCATTGGTGTCGGTGGGAGGAATTTGTGCCCCAGCATTGGTGTCGGTGGGAGGAATTTGTGCCCCAGCATTGGTGTCGGTGGGAGGAATTTGTGCCCCAGCATTGGTGTCGGTGGGAGGAATTTGTGCCCCAGCATTGGTGTCGGTGGGAGGAATTTGTGCCCCAGCATTGGTGTCGGTGGGAGGAATTTGTGCCCCAGCATTGGTGTCGGTGGGAGGAATTTGTGCCCCAGCATTGGTGTCGGTGGGAGGAATTTGTGCCCCAGCATTGGTGTCGGTGGGAGGAATTTGTGCCCCAGCATTGGTGTCGGTGGGAGGAATTTGTGCCCCAGCATTGGTGTCGGTGGGAGGAATTTGTGCCCCAGCATTGGTGTCAGGTGGGAGGAATTTGTGCCCATCATTGGCAATTATTTCGACATGCAATATGAAAAAATTCAGAGGTGTACATTTAGGAACTGTTTGCCCTTTTTTTTTTTTTTTTTTTTTTTTGGTTGCAGCTTGGAAAAAATAAATGCTGGAAACTGATTGCTGAGCGCAACACAAACCGTTCTTATTTCAGGCAGTTTGAAGAAGGTCTTTGCAGTGAAGTGATGAGGCCGTGCCGAGAAAGTGAGCGACTAGCAGATGGCTGTAGCTAATGCAGGCCCAGAGGCATTGAGAAAATGGGGGGTGAGAAGGTTAAGTGGCTGTCACATTCCACACTGTCCTGTGTCCTCTGGGCTTGCCAGCCATCCAGGCCCATTTACAACCCTGGCTTAGACCCCAATCCAGGTTCCTGTCTGTCCTTCTCCTCTTCATATGTACAATGGTGACTGTTATTTAGCTTGGCTTTCCATCATATTGTAACGAGAGCCGCTTATTGCTGTCAGGGTTGTAGTGTGTTCCCCCTGCTATGCAAGGATGGAAAATCCACAGAAGAGGAAATACCAGCCATGTCATCGATGAAACAGGACTGTGTTCTCCATGCAGATGGCTCCTCCTCCAATTTTTCCATATGAGGAGGTCCGGGGGTCCCCCCAGATAACACTGCTCAACAGAGCTTCCAAATTCCCATATGGAATCCAGCAAATGCCTCGCATTTTATATTTGGAACATGGAAGGCATGTTGGAGCCAAAAAGATGGCTGCCAAATGTTCAATCCTGCAGGCCGCTGCCTTCCTGTTTCTGGCAGCAAGCGGTCCTTCGCTGGCTCAACATGAAAATGGTAGAGCTCCATACAGAACTTCACACGTTTTTGTGATTAGGAAGGAATGGGAACACACCAGCACCTGGATACAATCAAATCTTGCAGAGCGAATTCTTCCTCCTGCGAGTCATTGCTGAGTTCACCCGGCAACTATGCTTCCTGTAGGAAGGCATGTTCATTAATCCTGGCCACACACACACAGATCCGCAACTGGTCTACCGCAGATACGATCCATTGCGTTGATCACAAATGATGTTGTGAACCACCATACACCACATCCCTCACTATTCAATTGGTGTTGGAAAACCATCACTCATCAATATGCTGCCGCTGTAAAGCTGGCTATAGACTAGTATCATTTGTATGTTCGATAACCTGGATGTCATTTGACAGAAATTCAAAATGTGGAATGAATGGACTTTCCTGAATGTAAACCACATACAGTGCATACATAAAGTATTCACCCCCCTCCATGCTTTTCAATTTTATGTTGCAACCTGATACTACAGTTGTTTAAATTCTTCTTTTTTTTTTTTTTTTTTTTTTTTCCTTAATCTACACTCCGTATTCCATAATGACAAAGTGAAAACTGAATTTTAGAAATGTTTGCAAATGTATGAAAAAGGAAAAGCTGAAATATCATATTGGCATAAGCATTCATACCATTTTGCAGCAACATTTGAAATTTAGCTTGGGTGCCTCACATTTCTCTCGATCGTTGCTGAGATTTCTCCATCTTGATTGGAGTCCACCTATGGTAAATTTAAATTGGACATAATTTGAAAAGGCACCTCTCTATGAAAGGCCTCACAGCTGACCATACTGTATCAGAGCAAAAGCCATGAGGTCAAAAGAACTGCCTGCATAGCTCAGACAGGTTTATTGCAAGGCACAGATCTGGGAGAAGGCTACGAAAAAAAAAAATTCTGCTGCACTGAAGGTTCCCAAGAGCTTCCATTTGAGAAATATGAAGGCTCTTGGGAGCCTTCAGCGCAGCAGAAGTTTGACATAACCAGGACTCTGCTCAGTTTGGCCAGGGAACCAGCTCTTGGAAATCTGGGGAGAAGGCCCTTCGTAAGAGAGGTGACCAAGAACCTGATGGACACTGACTGATCTGCAGAGGTCCTGTGTGGAGCTGGGACAAAGTCCCAGAAGGACAACCATCACTGCAGCCCTCCACCGATCTGGGCTTTATGGCAGAGTGGCTAGACGGACTCCTCTCCTCAGTGCAAAACACATGAAAGCGTTCTTGGAGTTAGCAAAAAAGCACCCGAAGGACTGTCAGACTGTGGGGAACAAGATTCTCTGGTCTGATGAAACCACAATTGAACTGCTTGGCCTCAATTCTAAATGTTATGTCTGGAGGAAACCAGGAATCGCTCATCAACATCAAAACCGTGAAGCATGGTGGTGGCCGCATCATGCTGTGGGGTGTTTTTTTCAGCAGCAGCAGGACTGAGACTGCTCCTTTTCAGCTTCCCCCTCAAACCTGACCAAAGTACAGAGGTATCCTCACTGAAAACCTGCTCTTCAGCGTGCAGGACCTCAGACTGTGCTGAAGCTTCACCTTCCAACATGACAACGATCCTAAGCACACAGGCAAGACAACAGAGGAGTGGTTTAGGGACAACGGAGTGTCGTAGAGTGGCCCAGCCACAGCCCTGACCTGAACTCTATTGAACATCTCTGGAGAGACCGAAATTGGCTGTCCACTGATGTTCCCCATCCAGGGGCGGACTGACAACTTCATGGGGCCCCCGGGCAATAGGGGATCATGGGGCCCCTGTGTCCTTGCCCAAACTCAAAGCACACCCAAACAATCCTATAAAAAAGGTACCTGGGGCATTTCATGGGGCCCCCTACTGACTCCAGGCCCTCGGGCAGTGCTCGAATGGTCAGTCCGCCCCTGTCCCCATCCAATATGACTGAGCTTAAGAGGATTTGCAATGAAGAGTGGCAGAAAATCCCCCAACCCAGGTGTGCAAAGCTGGTTCAAGTCACACCCAAAAGGACTTGAGGCTATAATTGCTGCCAAAGGTGCTTCAACAAAGTACTGAGTAAAGGGTCTGAATACTTAAGTACTTGTCCATATATTTTTTTTTTTTTCCTAATTCAGACATTTTTCCATAATTTTTGTTTTCAGTTTGTCATTACGGGGTACTGAGTGTAGATTCATGTGAAGGGGGAAAAAATGAATTTAAGCAACGGTAGTATCAGGCTGCAACATGACATTGAAAAAAGTGAAGGGAGTCTGAATACTTTCTGAATGTACTGTGTCCTGTTTAAAAGTGTGCTCATTGGAGAAAAAAATGCAATTGGAATTTTTCTGTTCCTGCAGACCCAAAAGAATGTCAGTTTGACACCACTAATGATTGAACAATCGAATGACATTGGTATGAAATTCTACTAGTACATGGCCCACTTAAGTCCTATATAAAGTTTATTACAAAACATAACCTACAACCATCACGTTCATCCCTAAAATACACAATAGTAACCTCTTGTCACCCACATAACGCCTATGTGTGCAGCAAAGAGGATGGGTTCTATTGCCCACACACCCCACCAGGGGCGGACTGACAACTCATGGGGCCCCCGGGCAATAGGGGATCATGGGGCCCGTGTCCTTGCCCACACTCAAACCACACCCAAAAAAGCCTATAAAAAGGTACCAGGGACATTTCATGGGGCCCCCTACTGACCCCGGGCCCTCGGGCAGTGCCCGAGTGCTCAAATGGTCAGTCCGCCCCTGCACCCCACATATGCGTCCATGGATGGCTCGGGTTTCTGTGCTAAAAGCACACTCCCAGCACGGTAACCATCAGATATCAAAGACTGCTTTATCTCCAGTCAGGACGGAACTAGCTCCCAATCATGTCGCCATTGTGACAGCCAATCAGTGACTGGAAAGTCTATCCTGCCCCAGGTTGTAAAAACCTGTCAAACCCTTTCACTGTCAGATGTTTTTGCTCACATTAATTTTAGGCCTGAAGATGAGCAAAAACCCCGAAATGTTTTATATTTTCTAAACGCAGAGACCCCCTGGAGAATAAAACGGTGATAGATTCAATTTTTTTTTAAGTCACACAATATTTGTGACAACAGTACAAATTTCCCTGGGGGGGGGGGGTCATGGACAACCATCCAGCTGTAGCCGCTGGGACTGTGTGCAAAACCAAGACCGAAAAGGGTTTATGGGGAGACTGGCCGAAAATTAACCATAAACAGACCCCACAAATTAGACTGAAAAGTGGCTAAGTGGTTAGCACTTCCTCCTTGCAGTACTAGGGTCATCGGTTCAAATCCCAACTATGGCACCACTTGTCTGGAGTTTGCATGTTTGCATGTTCTCCCTGTGCCTGTGTGGGATTCTCCGCTTTCCTCCAACACTCCAAAGACCTGCTAATAGGTAATTTGGATAATGTCTAAAATTGTCCCTAGTATGTATGAATGTGAGTTGGGGACCTTTAGAATGTAAGCTACTTGAAGGCAGGGACTAATCTGAATGCATAATAAATATGTAAAGCGCTCCACAAAATTGACAGCACTAATTGTTATAAGTACACTTTTTTTTTTTTTTTTTTTTTTTTTTTTTTTTTTGGGAATAAATAACATTCTTCGATGCAGTTGAATTTTTGTTGAATAACAAAACCCACAAACCTATCAAAGCTGAAGCTGGAATAAGCAAATATTTTCAACAAGAGTCATCTGTAGTCTTCCTTGAATCTTGGTATGCTTTGTGTATATCTTCAGATCTGTGCAGCAATCCATTGTTTTGCAGGAGGTAAAAAAGACTGGTCACTGCTCTCTCTCCTTTTTAGGGTGACTGGTCTTGTCTCCGCCCCATGCTGTAGTTCTCTAAAGGCATCCTGTAGTGGGTGGGGCCTGCTGGATCCCTCCAATAGCTCTCTTCAGGTTCTGACAATGTCACTCCCCCCCCCCCCCCCCCCCCCCAACCCAACAGTAGTTTCTGGGTTTGCAAGGTATTTGGTGCACAAAAGTGGGCTTAAATCCTTTGTGGCCATTACGAAATATATTTAATTGAGTGTTTGTTGTTTTTTCTTCCCTGAATTAAGTTGGACAGAATAAATAGGCAGGAAAGCCATTGTGCATGGAAAATTGTATACCGTATATGGTCAGCAATACAACAAATTTCAATGGCAACTAATACATTTTCTATCTCGCCAAATCAACTGGATTTTCTCTAAAGTAATCTTATAGGCATAGTTCACCATTGCCAAAAAAACTGCCTATGCAGGTAATGGGTGCCTGTGGATATAAATAAACTGAGCGCTCTGATCAAAGTTAAAAGCTAGGTTCACCTTTTTATAAGAAAAATAATAAATGCATGTTTTTGCAGAAAAAAAAGTGATATGATTTTTATTACAGGATGCTGTAAAGCATTACACCCGTGATCAGTGGATCAATTCTTCCTCCAGCTCTCTGCCTGTACCTCTGTAGGGCCGGAGGAAGATTTATTGGGCTACCAATTTGCTGATCACCACGTCCGTTTATGAATTTAATGCGTTCTCTGGAACATTTCGTATTATGAAACATTTGTAAACCGAAACGCCATCCCATAAGAATGCATTGAAAACCAATTGATCTGTTCCGGAGGTCAGAAAGTAAAAAAACTTTTTATAAAGTGCACTTAAAGGCATAAATACTGTACAGGGACATGATTTAAAAATTTCCAGAATGGCTCCAAAGCTCGATGCAAAAACCGCACCAACCCCTTCACACTCGACGCCACGTGCTACCCAGACTCCAGCATGCACGCGGCCGGCGCTATAAACCTCCCAGGCACAATTCATCCTGGGGAAACTTGCTTCGTATTGCAAAAAAAAAATGTTGTAAACCGAGGCATTATTATCAATAGATTTTCATTTGTATACTAAAAATTACATTAACCGAGGCATTCATAAACCGAGGTACGCCTGTATATGCTTTTGATTGCAACACGAGGTCTTTTTGGAGCCTAGGACTTTCATTTTATATGTTTTGATTGCAACACTTGGGGGTTTATTTACTAAAGCTGGAGAGTCCAAAATCAGACTCCCTTCTGCATAGAAACCAATCAGCTTCCAGGTTTCATTGCCAAAGCTTCATTGAACAAGCTGAGGTTAGAAGCTGATTGGTTTCTATGCAGAAGGGAGTCTGATTTTGGACTCTCCAGCTATAGTAAATAAACCCCTTGGTGTCTTGTTTTGAATACAGGACTTTTATTGTCTGATTGTAACTGTTTCATTTATAACATTTTAGCATTCTGTTGTGGCTCTGCAGTGTTTTTTACCTTTTCACGTCATAAGGGTCAGTTAACAGCAGAACATGGTGCTGGAAAGGCGTGTTCCATGCCTATTTCCAGCACAGCGTTCAAAACGCACTGCCTTTGCTATATGCTGTGAGTGGCAGTACATTAACAGCACCCTAAACACAGATCGCAGTGCAGTTGCGGGAACCAAATCGCATGTTGCTAGCACTAATGGGAAGGAGAAGAGGTTGATTGCTGAACAGATGGAACAAATGGGTGACTATGAAGTAAGCTACATGGGTAGAATGCAAGATCCCAGAAAGGCAATCAACTGCTGAATATCGTGCGTTTATATTATTTATTATTTCAGGTACTTATATAGCGCCATCAATTTACACAGCGCTTTACATATATATTGTACATTCACATCAGTCCCTAACCCTCAAGGGGAGTACAAGCTAAGGTCCCTAACTCACATTCATACATACACATACTAGGGCCAATTTACCTACCAGCATGTCTTTGGAATGTGGGAGAAAACCAGAGTACCCTGAGGAAACCCGCACAGGGAGAACAAGCAAACTCCAGGCAGGTGGTGCTGTGGTTGGGATTCGAACCCACGACCCGAGTACTGCCAGGTGGAAGTGCTAACCATTTAGCCACTGTGCTGCCCTATGAGATTAAAGTGTCTCTGAAGGCTGGTTGTGAAGGCTCAAGGCTTTTTCCTTCATGCATTCTATGTATTCAGTGTGCAGCAGCCCCCCTAATACCTACCTGAATCCCATTGCCATCAGCAATGTGCACGAGACCCTTGGCTCTCCAGGGGCCTCTCCTTCCTCACTGGCTGAGACAGCAGTGGGAGCCATTAGGGAGCTAATGAGAGAGGAGGCGGAGCTGAGCTGTGTGTGAATACACGCAGGGCAGCAGCTCGGGATCAAGCCTGCTTGGGTGCCCCCATAGCAGGCTGCTTGTTGTGCAGGCACTTGGCAGGAGGGAGGGGCCAGGGGTGCCAATGGTGGATCCGAGAAGAGGATTGGGGATGCTCTGTGCAAAACCACTATACAGAGCAAGTAAGTATGATGTGTTGGTGTGTTTGTTTGTGTGGTGGTTTTTTTTTTTTTTTTTTTTTTTTTTTTTTTCTTTGCCTTTTTGAATGTCACTTTAAATACAGGAGAGGTTGAAGCCACTGGGGAGGTAAGTATTCAGTGTTTTCTGTTGCAGGAGTAATGATTTTTTTTTTTTTTTTTTCTCCTTTTGAATGTCACTTTGAATACTTACCTCCCCAGTGGCTTCAACCTCTGCTGTATTTAAAGTGACATTCAAAAGGCAAAAAAAAAAAAATCATTACTCCTGCAACAGAAAACACTGAATACTTGCCTCCCCAGTGGCTTCAACCTCTCCTGTATTTAGTGTTTTATGTTGCAGGAGTAATGGTTTTTTTTTTTTTTTTTTTTTTTTTTTTTGGAAGCCACAAAATCACTTTAATTACGAATATACACCCTAGTGAACTGTGGCTTATACAGTAGGCAGCCATTTTATTTTTTTTTTAGGGATCTTTGGAATAATTGCAACTTTTTTAAAAATTATTTTGGATAGAGTAGGGTAAGATTATAACACCTTTCTGTTTCTTCCCATTTGTGTCCAATTGCAGGATTTTCCTTCACTTCCTGTTTTGGTAATCCCTTCTAGGAAAGGGAATCCCTGGCTTTCACCAGAGCTAGCTTTCCATTTGAACATTTCCCCTCTTTCCCTGGTCTAGTGACGACCCAAAATTTTGGCTTTTTTTTTTTTTTTTTTTGTTTTACTTTTACTCTCAATAATAATGGTAAACAGGACAAATAGAGTGAATATCCCTAACTGGGGCACAGACGGCAATAAAATCCTGACGTGGGTTCTAGTTACTCTCCACTCCAAATCTCCACAAAGTTTTTTTTCGACTTTTTTAGTTCTACTGTAATCACTTATAGTTGCATGGCTGAGCTGCTAACCTCTCCTGTGTAGTTCTAGCCTTCTGGAACTTTTTGCAGAGGGACTCTAAAATGTGAGTCCTTTAAAGTTGTCACCGCTGCATGACTTTGGACAAGTCATCTATGTGTCATGAGTTAACTTTAACAGGCAGCAACAGACAAACTAGGAAAAAAAAGCCTCTTAAGGCCATCGAATGACCCCAAACTCCAAGAGTGATTGTAAAAAAAGACCTCTGCACACCCACCACAGATACAGAAGATAATGACTCATTGCGGGACAGGACAAGTTCAATCTTCATGGATACAAAGGGTTATTTTTTTTTTTTTTTTTTACTACTGCATGGTGCAGCTCTGCATATAAAACCAATCGGCTTCCAAGTTTTATTATCAATGCTTAGTTGAACAAGCTGACTTTAGAAGCTAATTGGCTTCCATGCACAGCTGCACCAGGTTCCGAGTGCACCAGTTTATGTACATATCCCCCAGAGAGTCTATGTCAGCATTGCAAATGCAAGATTTGGCAGGTCAAACTG